CTCTATTTTAAGGTGGGGGGGGGGGGGAAGCGGGTGGAAGTCAAATCCAAATGATGGTCAAGAAAGGAATAGTTTACTCTTGGTTGATTGTTCTATAAGTGCTCAGAAGAAACTAGTCCTGTGGAAGAGTGTGGCAGAGTTAGGGAGTTGCCCAAGTCACTGGAGCTGCACTTTTCTCACTGTGGAGACATGAAGTCCAGGAAAGGAAAGCTCTTTACACCCTGTCACCTTGTCTGTCAGCCAGTGGCATCTTGAGCAGTGATGTTTCAGAACTTTAATGGTTTTGCCATACAGATTTATTCATCTGGAACTGATACGTAAAATTTTAAGGTAGCATAATGACCTTTATTACAGAAAAGGACAGAAAACCTCTTGTGGGAAATAGTGTTGAATTTGGAGTCTGAATAAAGTCTGAAGATGTGTTTTGTTTTGTTTGGCTTCATTGTAGGTAGATATCTACAGGGCATCAAAAATACTGAAGAAATTAACAAAAATATATGAAATTCTGTGATGTCTTTGGGTCCCCTAGGCAGAAATTTATAGAAAAAACATACATAATGAGGTAGCTGCTTATTTAATTAATTTTCTTCAGCTTAAGGCCTAATCATTCAATGATAAGAAGAGCTTAGGAGTTTTCTTCAGGGGGAAAAAAGATTTATTTTAAAATTAATTCAGTTGGTGGTCAAAATTTCTTTTGCTTAGTTAAAAATGTTTTTTGATAATTGTTTTTCAACTGTTTGCCATATTTAAGGGTTGTTTTTTTAAAATTTTCAAACAATTCTTTTCCCCTGCATGTGAAAAAAAGGTATATAATTACTTCAATTCAAAACTGAGCAATTGCTTTGTCTTTGTAAAATAAATTGATATTTAAGAGAGGCTAGATGCAGAGAACTGTTTTGTTGAGTGACTGGTTTGGAACAAGGGATTGTTTGAAGAAATCCTGAAACAAGGGGCTTTTAGCTACAGTTAAAAAAATTCATAACCCTGCAGCTTGGTTTTGTAGTTACGTACACGTATATCCTCAGTCTCTCAATGCAAGTACAGCCTATGAGCTGATTTGGTTCTCTGGGGGACTTGGGTTACTCTTGAGTTGATAGCCTAGTCACATCTACACGTATCGGCTAAGGTGGGAACTCACTGTAGTACATCTTGTACTTGGTTTAAAAATCATTTCGTAGTCACAGACTGAATTACACATGCAAGTTGCGAACTTGCATTATTGTTCTGAGCGTTAGCCAGATTTTTTCACTTTTATTGTTTTGCTTGTGACAAACAGTGATAAATGATAATAACGCTACATTTTTCAAGTCAAGGAAGTACATCATGTTCAGGCATCAAACCTGTTCTTTTTCTATTTTAGGAGACTAAAAGCACACAAATAGCCCCTTGTGGTCCTCCCCCCTTTTTTTAAATGTAACTGGAACATCGGAGTAGGATTTAGAAGTATGATAATAGCTCATTCCTTGGGCATCTAGTTTGCGTGCTGAAAATGAGTTTTTGATGGACTTATGGTTTTGACAGTAAAAAAATAAAAATATGCTGGACTTCAAATCTTTCCCCATTTACCATTGTTTTATAGCATGTTTTACCATGTTTTTCATCTGAATATTTCATATTTGATTTGGAGCTGAAATAAAAAATTTAAATGGTTGCCTGAGCCCAGGCCATGGGAGGAGGCAAGCTCGGTAACAGGGGTGCGAAGTCAGTTGTAACGGGTCCAGCAGACGGCTGCCTTGCCAAGACATAGCCCTGTTTAGCTCATGCTTTGAGGAAGCCAGTGATCTCATGGTCTGCCATTGACCATGTCCCGGGGCTTCCTCGCCTCCACCCCAGCACTCACGTGTGCTGCTGGGGCTTGGGCTGGGCTGGTTCCTCTGCCAGTTACTGTAAGCAGTGGTATTGCTGATTGATGCAGGGATAAAACATTTCTCCCTGTAAATGCAGTCACTGCTTTTAATTTCAGGTGACTTTGTTTCCATATTAAAATAGTTTTGTTGGGTAATGTTGTAATTTATTCAACAGTTCATGGAAGTTCCTGGGGGATCACTGAAGAGTTTCTAAAATTGCACACAAAACTTAAATCCATTTTGTTTCAAAATAGTTTTCTCCATATGGCACTAGTGCTTTTTGTATATTTCTGGTATATTTTTCCTTTTTATCTTTATGACTAAATGTACATGTGTTAAAGGTTTCTGTAATCCAATCTGATGGTGTTTTTCCTCCTTGAAATCCTGTTGATGATTCTGTACTCGTCACTGCAGAAACATCTGGTGAATCTGACTGCAGAGAGGGGAACAGGAAACAGGAGACAAAATGGTAACGGATGAAAAAAATCCTGCCACCTTATAAAAGTTGTGTGCCATTTATTTATGAAAAGCTTTTTTTTTTTTTTTTTTTTAAGAACAGGGCTATGTTTGTATGTGATTTCTAGTGTGTGCTAGGAGCCAGTGTTTTCTGGTGCATTACACTGAGGGTGTGGAGATCTCTGTGGCTGAGTCCTGGCTCCATGTTGGGTGCATTCCGATGGTGGAAATGCTGCTCCGTTCCCAGTGCAAGGACACGCTGGCTGGTGTCTCCTTCTCCCATTTGAATTATTATCTTCTCTGTAATTATGCCATATGTTATGAATATTAAGTGTTTGGTGAACTTCTGACTCCTGTTCTCAAAAGTCTGTGAATGTGGTAATGAGCCAAGATGTTAGACTTCTATCCTGCACCTGGGATGTGGAAGTTGTGTGCAAAGGGGTTCTTGCTTTTTAATTTCTGACTCTCCAACAGAGATGGTGCAGTCAGTCACCTGCAGTTCGTGGTAAGGAGTGCTGTTCACCGTGTGTTTGCACACAGTGGTCTCCAGCCAGCACAAACAGTGCTGAGATAGCAAAAGTGGGCAGTGGCCATGGTACCCACACAGTGAGCAGCTCTCACCTTCCCCTGTCCCAGGGACTGGAAATGTGGCTCTGCCTTTGAAAACCACCCTGTAAAAACACTACGTAGGTCTTCTAGATGAAGACAGTCTCTCTAGAATGAGACATGTTTGTTAAAACTGTTTGGGTTTTTTTTTTCTGGTAGAAATAACATTTGTAAACTTCAGCAGCAGTCTATTATCATGCTGGAATCTGTCCTGTGAGAATGAGTGTTTTTGGGTGGTTTTCCTTGATATGTGTTTTGAACAAACATATAAACACACTGATATCTGTGTATGAAGTTCTGGCTTGAGGGATGTATCTTTACAATTTATGTCTGTTCTCCTCTAAGAAATAGGAGATTAATTTTATTGTGAAACTTTAAAGTAAATCCAAGAGAACTGGTATCCAACTGCTGTCCCATAGTTTAAAATCTCCCAGATGTTTGTGTAACATAGTATGATATGTCATTTCTGCAATAACATACAGACTGTTGGAGCTGACAGGCATCTTTTAAAAAGATAGTTTTTAGAAAACAACATTTTTCCAACTTTTTAGTTGATGTCTGTACTCCTGCAATTTGGCATATACTTGAGAACTTCGCAATAGTTTATATCACAGAGCCTAAACGTACAATGAAAGTTAGTTGTCAATAACTGACCTGCATTCATTTAATTCAGATTTTATTGAAATTTAAGAAATTTTTCTTATTTAAAATACAGGCTGAAGTAATCTGTGTAGTTATTTGTTTGGGTTTTTTTGACTTTGAGCATGTGAAGAGGTCTGACTGACATCACAGCTCATACTTGTAGTTGATTAAATATGTGTGTATGGGCACGCGTGCATATATCTACACACATGGATTCTTCTGAATTTGATGCAATAGTGATAGCTGAATTTAACAACACCCTGATTTAAGTTGTCTCTGTGACTACTGTGAAATACAAACAGATGTAGCAAGACAAATTCTGATCTGTTATTGCTGAGAGCATGGCTGGGTAAGCACCTGTGTCATATTAGTGGCTCGAGAAGATGCATGAGACGGTTCCTTTAGGAGCTGATGTGAACCCTGATTTTGTGATGGGAGCTGTTTCTCAGCTTTGCAGCTGGGTCCTTAGCCCCTAGTCCAGTGAGCATTGAACAACTCTGCACTACAAGAAAGCATAAATTTTATATAGGCCTAAGTGTTTAAAAGAAACAGAATAAACGTAAAGATTTTGTGGAGCTGCTTGGTTCCATTGTTAACCAGCTTGGTAGCTTATTGACATAACACTCATGATGTATAATTCTTATTTATTAATTTATTTATTCTGAGCTACCATCTTAAATCCTTTATACTGAAGATTCTCACCTGTCCACCACTGGTACTGAGTTTTTGATCTATTGTGTTCTGTATGGAGAAAAACCATTTTACTTCAGGGGCAGATAGCAGCCGAAGATTGTTATAACTCTTTTGTTATAACTTTTCCTCAGAAGGTTTGACAAGGTAAACTTGCTTCAAGCAGCTCGGCATGAGCAACCTGTGTTTGTGTGATGAGTTACTGTGGTGACTGGCAAAGTTTCACTTGTCTTTTATCTGGATGCGCTGACAGTCTTGGCAGTTTGGATTTTTGTCACCAACAATTTCCATGTGAAGGTTTATTCTTTGATGTTGATTTGGGGTTTTTTTTGTTGTTAAAACGTGAGCTCACACTTAAGCCTTGAGTTTTGAGGTTGAAAGTGCTTTATTCTTTGAAATGTTGTATTTGTACTTTACCCACTGAAGTATCTTGCACATCCTCTCTGGCAAAATTGTCTGGTGCCTGTGAATATAAAGCTATTGTAGTTACCAACAAGCAGATATGAACAGAGAGAATTGTCTTGTGTGTTAAATAATGAAAATGAGACCCAGTAATAACTCTGAAAATGATGTGATGCAGAGACAAAGCTTTCTAGACTGTGTTGCTGATTGAAGTGATTTCTCATTGCCAGTGCTGGGGGGGGGTGTGGGGTGTGTGTCTGTCTCCTCTATGGATTGTACTGCCTTTGCAAAGTAGAGCCTTACTTTGCTGCAGATGTTGCTAAAGTAACTTACATCTGGTTTTATTTTCCCCGTCAGCTCCTGCTCAGACATTTTGAGAGATCTGCAAGGGCTTGAAACATGTTCAGCATCCTCTGACAAGTAAGTTCAGAGTGAATATATGAGTGATAAAGTCATTGCGACTGATTTAGGTCAGTATTTTCCAGTTTGTGGAGTCCTACGTGTTTTCTGCAAATGCCTCCGAAAAGTCAGGTTCTTCGAGAATCTCCACAGTTGTAGGAGACAAATTCGGTCAGCATTTTTGGATCCTTGGAAAATAATGCCTGGGTGCTCTAAGGATCCACAGATGACTAGTTGAAAATCAGTGTTCTAAGGTGTATTTTATTATGAATATTTATTTTAAAGAAAGAAAGAAAATGAGGGAACTGATTTTTGTGGAAAATTGAAAGAATCTGATCTTGTGTTGTATTTAAATATACATTGTTGTCAGTGTCATCTACATCTCTGTCAAGTTGAATGTGCTGGAATTGCAGCATCTGTTTTGATTTACTACTACTCAAAGTAAACAAGAAGAGAGAAGACTACTTTCCTCTTTTGAAATCTTAACATCTTATTTCTTAAAACCAGAAATCACCTTCTATTATATAATGGCAATATTTGAGTCTAGCTATGCAAGGTGGTGTACAAAGAAGTACTAAGACACTGTCCAAGGATTCCTGAACCAAATGAAATACATGAAGATGGAGAGGAAATATGGGGATCTATGTGGGTGCTGGAGGTGGGCAGTTATCGTGAAATTTGGAATAGCTTTGCGTTAGATCAGCTGAAAAGCTCTGTAGTTATACAAAGAAACAGAAATAAAGACTGGTGGAGTCTGCGAAAGTAGTACAGTTTACCCTTGCAGCTGAAACTGGCTTGATCTGGGATCTGTCTTCAGATATCATGTCTACTTTGGTAGTTGATCTCAGGGGCGTGATGAGAACCATACTGCATTTAATTCTTGTAGTCTGCTTTTTGAAGAGTATTTATGACCCAATGTTCTCTATTATCCATTACATACATATGTGGTCAATAGATTGTGACAGCTCTTAAAATTCATGATTAATGTCAGAAGTAACATTTGAAACTCTTAAAATGTGTGTTTAGGTAACCTAATGGCTTTTAAAGAGCTTTTAATGGAAGCATTGATAAGGCCTTGATTACAGTGGTGTCAGAGGTCAGTGCTGGAGTGCACCACTGAATAACCAGAAAGTAGGCAGAAAGGCTTTCTTGTAGAGGGAGGGCCTCACTTTGGGAAGGTAAGAGGTGTTTACTAGAAGGATGCTCACAAGTGCGCCTTATTTTGTGGTATCTGCAAGCGACTCCTTGAGATGGGCAGTAAATTAAAAAATACTTGGTTGTGTGTTTTGCAGGTACTAGTCTCTGCTCCCCTGGTGATGATCATCTGGTGCTGCTGCCATGAATCAAGGACTAAGCAGCCACAGCTACCCTATACAGATATTTTTAGATCTGTTACAAGATTTATGCATGACCATGATAAACAGGGGTCAGGCATCATGAGATCAAGGATCATCTAAAGTCCTTGGTAACCACCTCATTATGTAATTATCAGTTACCTCTGAAGTGTTATATCTCAGCTGGCTATTTCTCAGTGAGTTGGATTGCTAGGAATTGGTCTCCTGCATAAAAGCCAATCCATAAGGACTTGTGGCTCTGAATTGTGGTCAGAACAGGAAAGGTGGAGCTCTGGCTACCAGAGCTGGAGAACTCATGAGTGAGGGAGCCAGCAACTTGCAGCTCCCTGTTTTATCTTGACTAGATGCTTGGGGTGTGAAAATGCACAGCAAGACGTTATAAAAATGGGTGTCTGTCCCATTAAGTGCGTTCTCTTCTGTTTGGAGAGGGGTGGAAGTCATGAGTGGAGAGGCCAAGACAATCAAGAGCTGCCCCTGGCAGCTGCAGGAGAGAGTTGTCATGTATGTCCCTCTTTGGCTGTGGGCACGTGGTACCGCAGCTGCCTCTGGCTGACTTGGTGGGGAACTGGGGTAGGAGGCACAGTAGCTGGACAGCAGTCAGGAGGTGAGGATGGCGACAGAAGTTAAAAGAAGTTTCTTGATTTCTTCTTGGTTGAGGTTGGGAGTTAATTGAATTTATGGAGCTTGGTAATGTCCATTGTCATCAGTTGCTGCACATGTTTCCGAGCTTGTTCTTTCTCGCAGTCTATGAACACACTGAGGCGATGTCTAGATTGCCGGACAGGTACTTTTGGCCATGTTTCCTGTGCTCTGGGTTCCCTGCTCATCGTGTGTGTGCTAACTCTTGCTGTGGGGGATTGTGCTGCGGCTCTGAGCCAGCCTGGCCAGGGATGGTTGCAGCAGGACATGCTCCTGGGGTGAGCAGCGTGCCTCCTCCACGGGGCCGGCAGATGTTCATCTGGCAGGAAATGGGTGGCATTGCTGTTCCTGGCTATCCAACAACAGAATATTTTTTTCTTTTTTTTATTGTTTTTAGTACGTGCTTTACCTTCATTGTACTTCTGTACCTGCCCTGAGTTAGGATATTAAATGTGTATATTCTTCTAAAATTACAGTTCAGTCTGTGCTGCTTGTCTGCTTCGCTATTTGTTTAAATGGGAAAAATCCACCTGGTCAGGTCTTAAGACATTTTGTTAAAATCAGTTTGGATCGAAAAAGTGGAAGAAACAGAGCTATGAAAAGTTTCTGAGCTGTAAATTTTAGGGCCCCAAGCAAAGAAACTAGAACTGCAGCCTTAATGAAATTCAGATCACTGGTCTAAGAAGACTATTGAGAATAACAGAGGGTTTTGTTAGATGATTTGGGACTAAATGCCACATCAGTATTGTAGAATTAATACACCTGGTTAATTTTTGGAGGAGCTTAGATTTACAGCACTAGTCAACTCAAACTGTAACAGAAATTACAGGTGCTCCTTTTGTCAGGACTGGGGTGTTTACCCGAGAGGGCTGGAAACCCCAGGTGTAGAGGAGGCAGCTTTCAGAAGGTCTGTTGAAGGATTTGATTCCTGCTTGTGCTCGCTGGCAGAGGTCAGGAACACATTTTTCTGGTTATGTGGAAGAATGGCATGTGGCGTATGCTGCCAGAAGTAGTTTTGCTGGCCAGCCTTAGGAGGAGAAAGGAGACCTTGTCTGTCCCACAGTGATGCGCTGCGTGGATTGGTGGTTCATGAGGCTGGCAGCAGAGCAGCACGCAAATGTCTGTTCTCATGGCTGATGTAGCAAGCATCCTGCTTTATCCGTGACACACCAAGACTTCATAGCAACCTAAAAAAATCTGGCTGAAACCGCTTCCAGTTTTTAAAACTGTACCTGTTAAAATTATTTCACCTGATGAGAGTGAAGATGTGAGGGTGTCCAATGCTGGTTGGTGTGATGAGCTTGTATGCTTTTGCTTTTAAAGCCAGTGACTTTTACTGGGATGCGAACATTGGCATAAAGGTGTACCCAGTCAGATCAGCTTCAGAGTATGTGGAGTGACTGGGGCTGGAAGTTGTGTCCTGTGGGTGTTGTGGGGCTCTGCTAGTTTGTGCAAGGAAGCAGTCACAGAATGACAGAATCATCAAGGTTGGAAAAGACCTTGAAGATCATTCAGTCCAACCATTAACCTCACACTGACTGTTCCCGACTACACCAGATCCATCAGTGCTATGTCAATGTGACTCTTAAACACCTCCAGGGATGGGGACTCCACCACTGCCCTGGGCAGCCCATTCCAACGCCCAGCAACCCTTTCTGGAAAGAAATGCTGCCTAATATCCAGTCTAAACCTTCCCTGGGGCAACTTGAGGCCATCACCTCTTGTCCTTTTGCTTATTACTTGGTTGAAGAGACTCATCCCCAGTTCTCTGCACCTTCCTTTCAGGTAGCTGTAGAGGGCGATGAGGTCTCCCCTCAGCCTCCTCTTCTCCAGACTAAACACCCCCAGTTCTCTCAGCCCCTCCCCGTATGACCTGTGCTCCAGACCCTGCACCAGCTCCGTTGCCCTTCTATGGACACACTTGAGTCATTCAATGTCCTTTTTGTAGTGAGGGGCCCAAAACTGCACACAGGAATCGAGGTGCGGCCTCACCAGTGCCGAGTACAGGGGTCAGATCCCTTCCCTGTCCCTGCTGGCCACGCTATTGCTGACACAAGCCAGGATGCCATTGGCCTTCTTGGCCACCTGGGCATGCTGCTGGCTCCTGTTCAGCCAGCTGTCAATCAACCCCCCCAGGTCCCTCTCTGACTGGCAGCTCTCCAGCCACTCCTCCCCAAGCCTGTAGCGCTGCTGGGGGTTGTTGTGGCCCAAGGGCAGCCCCCGGCATTTGGCCTTATGGAAACTCCTCCAGTTGGCCTCAGCCCATGGCTCCAGCATGTCCAGGTCTCTCTGCAGAGCCTCCCCACCCTCGAGCAGATCAACACTCCCACCCAACTGGGTGTCATCTGCAAACTGACTGAGGGTGCACTCGGTCCCCTTGTCTAGATCATCCATAAAGGTGTTAAACAGGAGTGGCCCCAAAACTGAGCCCTGGGGGACACCACTCTGACCGGCCGCCAGCTGGATTTAACTCCCTTCACCACAACTCTCTGGGCCCGGCCATCCAGACAGTTTTTTACACAGTGAAGCGTGTGCCCATCCAAGCCATGAGCAGCCAATTTCACCAGAAGAATGCAGTGGGAAGCGGTGTCAAAGGCCTTCCTAAAG